TATGCAATATGATCGTGGCACGTGTCATTATCTTTTCAGAATCTTTGAGGATAGATTTCGATCAAATTTTTAACGAATGAAGACATGACACGTGGCCTTATCTACAATCCAATCCTTTCTGAATCGTCCATATAATCCACCATCCATCCTCACAAATCTCACACCAATTTTCTCAACATCTCTATCTCATTATTCATAGTTTCTGCTTCTTCTTCACCATCCATCCTTACAATGTCTTCTTCTTCATCAAGGATGATGTAGGAAATCGATCAGCAAGAGGAAGAATTGTTTAACCAATCTGAAAGAATGTTCAACCTTCAGATAGCCGAAAATGAGATGGAAGAGGATGAGGAGCGTAGAAGAGGAGATGACGAAACAAGAATGACCAGAGCCTCACATTCCCGTTGAGTCATCCATACTGTTGCTCAGATATGCAGGCCCAGCCGTTCAAGAAACCTTGATAGAAGCAGGCAACGACGGGGTGAAAAGCTGTTGGATGATTATTTTGTCCATAACGGTGCATTTCCTAATACGTACTTCAAACGCCGTTTTAGAATGAAACGACATTTGTTCAACAGAATCATGACTGATGTTTGCAACCATGATTTTTACTTTGTGCAAAAGAAAGATGCTTATGGTGTTATGGGTCTCCTGCCTTATCAAAAATTCACTGCTGCGTTGCGGATGCTTACGTATGGAGCATCTACAAACCAAGTGGATGAGATAACGAGGATAGGGAAATCAACTATTCTTGAGGCCCTGATGAGGTTTTGCGGAGCAGTTGAATCTTTGTACACCGCAGAGTACCTCCGAAAACCTACTCACATGGACTTGCAAAGGCTTATGAAGAAGGGCGAGATGCGAGGTTTTCTTGGGATGATAGGAAGCATCGATTGTATGCATTGGACGTGGAAAAACTGTCCAAGTGCATGGCAAGGCGCATATGGGGACAGAAAATGAGCAAAATCTATCATTTTGGAGGCAGTGGCATCTTTTGATACATGGATATGGCACGCCTTTTTTGGGGTTCCGGGGGCTTAAAATGATCTCAACGTCATTGCCCAATCCCCAGTGTTCAACAATGTCCTGCAAGGAAAGGCACCAAAAGTCACATACGTTGTCAACAGACGTAGGTACGACGGGTCATACTACCTGGTTGATGGCATTTACCCACGGTGGGAAACATTTGTCAAAACAATGCCACATCTGCAAAGTGCAAAGGAAAAACATTTTGCAAGCTGTCAAGAGGGGTGCAGGAAGGATATGGAGCGTTGTTTTGGTATCCTTCAAGCTCGTTGGGCGATCGTCAGAGGTGCTGCCAGAATGTTCGAGGTAGAGTCACTTCGATCCATCATGATGACGTGCGTCATTCTTCACAACATGATTGTGGAAGATGAGTTCGATTATGATGCGGTTGATGAATATGAGCCAAAGCCAAACACGATGAATAATTCAAGAACACGGATATATTGTGCGCATGATGCCATCAAAGAACCCGTGCAACACGAGTCATTAGAAAGGGATGGACGTTACAATGAAAGGGTCATTCAACGATATACTGCACTTCAAAGGTCATCTATGCACAATGATCGGCAAATTGACTTGATAGAGCACCAATGTGCATTGAAACAAGCTGAAGATAGTGAATTATTTGGTATGTTTATGTAATTTTATTTGGTGTGTTTATGTAATTCCAATTGGTGAGTTTTTTTAGTTTTATTTGGTGTGTTTTATAATTTCATTATACGTGAACAATTTGATGAATAAAGATTCTATTTTAGGATAAATATTTTACGAAATTAAATAAATGTACTCTCACTTTAAATAAAGTACTAACTTCAATAAATTGGAAACAACATAAATAATAAATTACAACCCAAAGTGATTGGAAAACAATGAGCTCCGATTATAAAAAGTACCCTATTCATCATCACTTAACCAATCTGTGGTGCTAGGATCATCTTGTCTTGTTGTGCTAGGACCATATTGTCTTGATCTCACTTCTCTTGCACGCCTTCTTTGCACCACATCCACTTTCTCCGACTGCCAAAAATATTTAGAATTTGGAGACATCCCTTCTAAATTCGTGTTCATAATGTCACGATCTCGTTGTGCAATTCTTTCTTCTCTAAGCAACTCCCTTTCTTGCCTAAGTAGCTCTCTTTCCCTCTGTTCAGCTTGAAATGCTTGTTGAATAGCTGCAGCTTTTGCCTCATCTCTAGCCTTTTCAGCCTCATATTTCGCCAATTCCCGCGCCAACATCAATTCACCTTGACGAGCAAGTTCTTGCATGTACTTTCCATAATCATTCTTGAAAGCACTCGCTCTCCTCTTTGAATCTTGCTTACCTTGAGGCCTAATTGGATAATGGGTCGACCATGACGCTTGTTCAGGAATGGGCGTTTCAGACACTTCTTCTCCATCTTCTTCATCAACATGGGAGCCATGATCGGGTGTAGAGTGTGGAAGGGTGCTGTGTACAAAGGTGCAGTGTAGAGGGGTGCTGTTCATGCATACTTCTGGACCAACATGCACAAATTTGAATTTAGGATAATCTTTAACAATATTCCAACATTCCCACCAGTGGAATGATTTGTTTCTTGATTTGATTTTGGTAGCATACCATGCTTGTGCTTGAAGTTGCTACAAATGAATAATAATGAAATTATTAGGTAACAAATAAATAATACAAACAAATAATAATAATGAAATTATTAGGTAACAAATAAATAATACAAACAAATAATCAAATTAGGTAACAAAATAATAATACAAACAAATAATTATAATACATTCTTACCTCATCCGCATAATTTGCCCCACTTCGAACATTACTACTAACTTGTGTCAAGGCATCTCTTCACGTACTAAAGGAATGGCTAAGTATTTTCCAATGACTGGACATCGATTCTTTGGTTCTTTTCCCACTCATTTGCTCAAGAAATTTGGTATGAATTAAACTCCACATTTCTCGCAACTGCATCTCATTACCCGTAAGGGAATTATGAGTAACTTCAACCCAGCTAGTGCACAACGCAACATCTTCAAGAAGCGACCAATTCGTACCTGCATCAGTAGTCATTTTGTGAAAAAAAATTGGATTGAAACTTTGAGAGAAAGATAGGAATTTGATTGAAAGTAGTTGAGAAAATATGAAATTGTGGTGTAAGGTAGATGGAGAAGTGGTGGTATTTATAGAAAAGTAAAAACAATTTTTTACAATTTTTTTACAATTTTTTCGGATTTTTTACAATTTTTTTTAAATTTTTATTCAAATAATTAATTTCTGCCCTTGGATTTTAAAAAATTTGAATTCCAACACTCCAGATTGTGCCACGTGTCACAACGGTAATTTTTCTTAATTTTAAAACTATTTTTTCTTTTTTCTTTTTTTAAATTTATAAAGCAGATTAATATCAACCATTGATCTTAGATCGAACGGTTGATATAAAATTAGGTTTTTTTTTATTACCGTTGCAAATCGGACGGCTCGTATTAAAGAGCCGTTGGGATTGAACGGACTGTGGGAAGTCACGTGGCTTCCCAATGGTAACTGGGTTGTCTGGGTCCGTGCCCTGAATTCCTGTCCCCACTCGCGAGTGAGAGGCACGCGCTTGACACAAAAAAAAAAAAAAGCCCGGACCCAGGCCTGAAGTCACGGGCCACAGGTCTGTCGATTCCCCACCCCCCCCGGCGGCCCTCGGACTCCCACCCTCACTCGGGCTCTCCAAAGCTGGAGGCCTACCAACCGGCTCTCGGATCCTTTCCTAGAGCCTGTCTCCCGAGCAATCCACAAGGGTGGAGTTGCTAAAGAGTAATTGGAGTCAATAGCATGGCTCTGTCCACTTAGACGTCTCCGTTGCACGGTTCAGTCTTACCTTTGCGCAGCATGGATCAACCTTGCTTGTCATCTGCACAGCATGGCCGGTCATGTCGTCCATAATCACTCTGTCAGTCTGCCGTGTAACATATATCATACAGTTTGGATGAGACAAGATTGATTGGCATATGAGTGTCAGTCTGCCGTGTAACATATATCATACAGTTTGGATGAGACAAGATTGATTGGCATCTGAGTGGAGGTTGTTGAGCATGGCGTGGGGTGCCTACGATCGCCACTCTGGCTGCAGTGCCTAGGCTAAGAGGAGATGGACACACGTATCGACATCAACCTCTACGGCATCAACAGCGGGGCTGGGTTCGCACAGCGCCAGGCCGTTTCCGACGAAGCTAATGCAGTGGGCCCAACCGTCGAATCGACGGATGCCGCTTGGGTATCGTGGTCCCCACCAGTTGAATATCTGCCATCTTTGTTATTGGGTCATTCTAACTCGAACCGAAGGCAGAGAGACAACCACTCGTGATCAATCGCGATGACATATGTGAAGAAAATAGTCACAATAAAGAAACACTAATTTACAACAATTTACATTAAGTCTAATAAATTATAATAATTTCTAAAATAATTTATTAGATGACATTATTTTATAAATTCAAACAAAAAAAAAATATAATATTCTTAAAAATTAAATAATTCCTAAAAGTTCTACAAATTTCTAATATTCTGAAAAGTTTCTAATATTTCCTAAAAATTTCTAATGTATCTTAGTACTGATTTGATATCAAGGGACTTTTATAAAAGTGGGTATAAAAAAAACTGAACTCAAAAAATGTTTGGTAAATATTTTAAAACAGCTTATTTTCACAGTTTTGGGTGACAAAAAGCTGAAAACGTGAAGCAGTAAAAATGAGCTTATTCTCATAGCATAGCAGAAACAGTATTTTTTCAAAACACAGCAATACCAAACCAGCCCTTATTACCTTACTCTAAACTAGGAGGAAACGGCACTGTGCAGTTTTGTCTCAATTTCATTTTATTTACGAGTTTGCCACTGGCTGATTTCAGCCCAAGTTTCGCTTTATTTACAAGAGTGCCACTGGCTCTCTCTGCCCCCTGCTTTTGTTGGATTTCACGTTATTTACAAAATTGCCACCGCCTTTTCATTCTCCGTTCAGTGAGGGTCTCAGGGATGGGGAGGCCAAGCCGCTCTGTCTGCCGCTACTTTTGATCAACGCGTGCGTGATCTGTGCTTCAGCCAAAACAGATTTTTCATCTCTTCCATACTCAAACCCTAGCCGCTTCACCCTCTCTCCCACACACAAGCAAACTCCATCTGAAAGCCGAAAAATACAAAGGTAAATCCCTTCGAACTTTTCGATTATGAAGGAATGCTTCAAGCGGTGCTGCCGCTGCCGCTTCGACCAAAAGGAATGCTTCAGGCGGTGCTGCCGCTGCCGTTATGAAGTTTGAGCGCTTCGCAGGTTGGGGAGGAGGACGACGACGAATCCGCTCTGAGTCAGCTTGGCCTCCGCCGCAACACTAGCTATACTTCTTCCACAGCTTCCACTGCTTCTTCTGCTGCTAATGGGTGGGGGTTTTCTACCTGGGTTTCTTGCACAAGAGCTTCATTTGCCCGCATGACGGAGATTCCGGCCTCATCTCCTCCAAAATTTGCCAGTACCCAATGTGGGTCTGGTTTCTTTCTTAGAGGTTTCAACATGGAAGCTTCTTCTACTGATCAAATGAGTCTCATTAAGCAGCTGAGGGAGCGAACCAATGCGCCGATCAAAGACGTTAAGGCTACTCTCATTGATAGCAATTGGGACATTGGTCAGAAGCTCTTTCTCCCCATTTTTGTTTATGCTAATTTGAATAGATTATGTGTGTGTGTGTGTATGTGTGTATATATTTTTTTTAATCCTTATCAAAGTTGGATTCTTTAATGAAATGCAGAGGCTGCCCAGAAGGAATTGAGGAGGAAAGGGAAGGTTTCGGCGTCGAAAAAGTCATCTCGGATGGCTGCCGAGGGCATGCTGGCTTTGGCTCAGAATGAGAACAAGCTGCTGTTATTGAACTTTAACTTTGAGACTGACTTTGTTGCTCCAAATGATATATTTCAATACTTAGTAAGTGTGATTGATATGATTCCTCCAAATTTTTTTAGTTCTTTTTTATTAGTTGTTATTATAAGTACATGGTTGCGTACTTAGGGCTGGTTTGGTATTACTGTTTTTTATAAAAAAAAAACTGTTTTTACTGTGCTGTAAGAATAAACAGCTATGAAATAAAGCAGCAGAGCGTTAGGTAAATTTTTTTGTAAAAGTGCTTTTGAAAAAAAAATCGTATTATAGTGTTTGATAAACTTATATAAAACAAATGTGAAAAAAAATTGGTTTTTCAAAATTAGGTTTTGCAGCTTTGTGTTTTTGGCTTTTTTTTTCAATCAAAACTGTGAAAAAAAATTGAAAATAATTATTTACCAAACATATTTATAGCCACTCAATCCCAATACCAAACTTAATTTCAGTCGTCCTTTTTTTCCCTTATTTCTTCCTCCTCTGCTTTGCTTTTGCTGCTGCTTCTTCTTCTTCCCTCTTTTGGTCCCCCCCTCTCTTGCTTTATTTCTTATGACATTTTCATATATCTCTCTCTCTTGCTCTCTTCAAAATCCCACAACAGTCTTTGGAGTTGGAGGCTTTTGCTCTGTTGGTTTTTTTTTTACAATAACTCAAAGGGCCGAAAGGTATTCCCTTTTCATATTCATCTCTCCCAATTTCTTTAGGGTTAATTTCAATTTTCTTATGCTGTTTGCAATGGTGTTTTTTAGGGTTTAACTATTTGATTTCACAGATTCATTACAGACACAGTAAATAGTTACATTTTAAATTCGTATTTCATAACTTGGTTGCTTGATTCTACTGCCACTGTTCATCGGCTTCTCCTATTAGACAGCAGGGGTATGCAGAGATCATAATAGATGGGCTTTTTATTTTTTATTTTTTTATTTTTTATTTTATCTTTTACGGAATGCTCTTAAATTTTAATTATACATAACATGGTGTAAGGTTATAACTCATCATCATCATCATCTTATTTATAACAATGTTGCCAAAATGCATTCTGATTATCAGGTATATCACTATGGAAGAACTAGAGCAAGTCCTCCACGAATAAGGCTTATGTGGTGAATTTTAATCTTTTTCAGGTACACCCATATCTATATCCCAAACAACTGTTACTAGGTATCAATTTGTTAGAGTCAATTTATATAATTTATTATTTGCTTTCCAGGTACAACCATATCTCACTCCCTTGTGGTGTAGATCATGGTTTTCAGGTCTTTTACAGTTTTAGTGGTTGTGCTTAAGGGTAGATGATGATGTAGGATGGAGATAGTTTTTAGAGAATGGATTTACATTTGTTCGAGTACATTCAAGTAGTTTTGTGTCCCTGTGAGGTATATGGTATTCCTCATAGTTTCGTTCTTGACCATGTTCCTTCTCGAATCTTCATTGATAAAATGTTTCCTTGAGCATCTTCTTTAAATTTGTCTTTTATTCCAGTTATGACTTTCCCTACCTTTGTGTGCATGTACTGGTTTGAATTTATGTGCATTTATTTGAAATGATTTGAATTTAATATTTATAACCAGAAGAAGTGATTTTTTTAATTGTGATAATTGTGCCTCATGTTTTGTTGAGGACTTTGATATTCTAATTTCTTCTTGATAATACATCATGTTTGGGTGTTTAAACAATATTTGCCTAAAAGTATGTTGCGTTTTATGATGGTATTTCAAATAAGGTAACTTCCCCAAACACTTATATTTGGTTTTCTATTGGTATGTGTAAAACCAGCTTGATTCAGGTTACAAGGTTGAGGGTTGTGGATACTTGTCATATGTGGATAGTTAATCATGTTCAATAACCTTAGTTGGAGGGCCATTCACTTAAATTTTGGTTTCAAGTTGTAGAAAGATGGCTTTTTATGGGAATTTGGAGTCAGCATATCACTTTTTGCAAGACTAAAGATTGGGTTATAATGGATATGCAGATCTTCGAGAGGATAAACACTATGTGGCTGATCGCACAAGATTGTTTCCTGCGACCACTGCTCAGGTTTAGTTTCTTTTTATATTATGTTGAATTGACGACAAATAGTGCTTATCTTTGTTAATTGGATAGGATAAGCACTAATTGTCATCAATTCAAGGTAACATTAGTTTCTACTCAACCATTGCCTGCACTTTTGGACCATTTTATATGTGAATTTGATGCAAAAATGTTTACTTTTTGCTGTTTAAATATGTACGCAAAATAAAACAATTATATCTGTTGAGGATATCATTGCTCTGATTGGAGATAAGTGTGATGGAGTTATTGGACAGGTAAAATTTTAGACTATTCTTTCTTCTTTCTATGAAATTTTAGTATCACATCAGGATAAGTTTCGAGATATCTTAGTGCACTCAAAACATGCCTTAAATTTTGAAATCTGACCTCATTTTGTGAATCACATTTTGTGAAGTCTTCTATGCAAGAAATCCGTTGGAGTCAAAACCTATTATTCAACCCGATCTTCTAAATAGAATAAATCTAGAGGCATCCTTGAAATCCCTTAATTATTTTAAATAGATATGCCTATACGATCAATCACATGTCAGCCGTAATTGGCCAACTGTGAAGGTCACCAACTACTCAAACAAAACCCATCTCAATTAACTTATGGGCGATGTTTTAAACGTCTCTTGGGTGTATATTTTATGTTAGAAAATAATGTGACGATTATACCTTCATGAAAGAAGAGGTAGTAAAAAAGAATTAGAAAGCGAGCGAATCATATAGGCAGTTTGTAAATTCTTAAGACCATACCTCCAAACCGAACACAGCACCAAAATTCTTTCTGTTCCTCAACTAGCTCTGCTTTTCTTCTATTTCTCTCCCTCATCGACATCCTCAAATGAATGCTTCTTTGTTTATTAGAGTTGCAATAATCTTCCCATAGATGTTGTCATACCCCCATGAGCTTGCCAAAGGTACTGACTGGTTGCTGATTTCAGCTTCACGTACAAATGTGACTAGCGGGTCAAGTTCCATAAGGAGGTGGAAGCAGAAGAAGAATTGGCGTCACCCTTCAGTTTTTCAACCAAAAGGAGGCAACCTTGATAAATGATTTACACAAGCTTCTCTGTTTTGTATCTCTGAAATTTGAGTTCTTTGACACAAATATCCTTAGGTGGACACAAAATTTTGACCCCAACATCCAATTTAATTAATTCAACTTTGGTAAGTGAGTTAAGAGTTTTTCTATGACTGTATTACTGTGTTTGATATATGAATGACGAATTGGAAATAATTTCTTACTTATGTTTTTCTTAGGTGTACTAAATTGGATGTTGGTTTGGTTATTTCCAAACTTTTCACATGACTTTCATTACCTAATACAGAATACGAAAACCCTAACCTTAATTTTGTAAATTGATTTTGGTACCTGCAAATGAGAAAAGGGTAAAGTTTCGCATCCCTTTAGTGTTTGATCCTGAAATTAATTTATCCGAGTCCTGGATCTCTGTACTTTTTGGGTAAATTTCAACGACTTTCTCTTTTCAAATGCCTTTTTATTTTCTATTTTTGTCTTTGAGCTTCTGCTTTTTGGGCATTTTGGGTTGTATTTTCTATTTCCCAGTCGACTGGAAATATTGAGGGGGGGGGGGAGAGAGAGAAATTGCTCTTCAATAACTATGCTTCTATATTTCTTAGGGTCTGGTATTTGATTAATTAGAAATGACAGCTTTAGTTGATTGATGTTTTTTTTTTTATCAATTTAAGGTACTATGAATTGGGACCCGACAATCCATCATATGCTGCCAAGTTCTACGACTTTTGTGGGGCTGAGGATCCTGAGGCGTCCAGCTGCACTACCAGTTTCCATGTTTCTATGATGACGATTGATCCATGTAATATCTGTCTCTTAAGATTCATCATTTCATTTAGTCTTGCTCTTGCACTCTAACCAAAGTTCTGTATCTCCAATAATCTCATCTCTTTTATAGAAACATGAAGTTGATGCATAATTGGTTTTTTTTTTTTTCCCTTAAGGTCTCTGTTTATTTTCATTACTGTATTGATGTTTTCTGCCGTTGTTTATACAATTCTAAGAGGAGAGAGATTAATGGCATGAGGGTAAAAAAAAAAACAAGGGAAGGTGGGAAGGATGAGGAATGCACGGGTTGGCCTGAGTTTTATTTTAATTGGTTTGGGATTTTGTTTATGTTTGGGATTCTTTTCCCTAATTAATATTGTTTTGAATTCATATAGAATTTTGTTTATGTTTGGGGTTGTCATGTTCGAGTATTTTATTTGGTATTTAGTAGTTTACGTTACAGTTGTCGGTTTTCCAAGCGATAATACCTTTTCTGATATATGTGCAAATGTTAACACTTGTAGATTTTCAGTTTTTAAACAATAAGATAATGTAACCATTCAGACTCCAGAGTGCTTTGTCATTAAGGTAAATGATTTTCATTTTTCGCTTTGTGCCTTTTCTGATTCATGTTTTAACACGTATTGAATAATTTCCAAATTAACGACTGGTTCTTGCAGCCGCGTGAAGGATCGGACTATTCAAGCTTCGCAAGTTAATTCAAAGGCCTTAATCACTATATAAGGTTTCCATTTCTAATCCGTTTACTTCTGCCTTTCCCCTTATTAAGAAAATTTTACTAATTGCAATTGTTAAATGTTATTAAGGTGAGAAAGGGATCATCGATCTGAAATGAGCTTTTTATGTAAGCAATTTATCCACTCAGTCACCTCAAATTCTTTTTCTTCATAGATTGTTCTGGTACATGCTCTCTCATTTTTTTCATAGGCACAACTCTTTAATTCTTCCGCTTCTTCACCATACTTCGAATTTCGTTCTGTTTTCAGCTTTGAATTCTGGATGACAAGCTCTGTGGTTATGCATCAATTTCTCTGCTTCTTCTTTGTAAATCTTGCAGGTCAGGACGACACACCTATTGGGGCAATGTTGGGATGTTTAGGTTTGGGTGGGGACGTGGACTTATGGAAGAGGTGAAGTAGCTTAGCTCTCTGTCATTAACTTTATCTGTTCTATGCATCTCTACAATCTTACAATGCTCTTTTATTAAATTGCAAGATGTTGGGACCGGTTACTAGAATACGAGATTTGGAACAAAAGTGGTTGACAATGCAAGAGTCGAAACCAAGTGTGAAATTCACATTGAAAATGACAGGTCAGAATGCTAATCATATTCTAAAAAAATGTTGGGTTTCCTGATGAGTTCTCTGGCGGAATTCAAGAGGCTAATTTAGTGATTTGGAGTTAATTTTGTACATTTATTGAATGAAGTCATTTGTTATTTAGCTTATCTTGTGTTTGATTTGGTTTTAGGAGATGGTTGTGCATGATCTGTAGAATCACAATTAAAGGTCAGTTTTTTCAAACATTTTTTTGTTCTTTTTGCTGCATATTTGTGCATGTTTGGTCTCTGAGATTTTGTTTTTAGTAACTGTTGATTTGTAGTTTATGTCTGCCTTTGGCTACATATTGACACAAGTTTATTCTCGGCATTTTTTTGTTAGGGTAAGTGGTTTGGTGAGTTCTGTATTATTATATAATCTTTGGGGCTATTTTAAGTAAAAATGAAATGTTGACCGAATATAGTACATCTTTATTAAACATACTTGATAGAGCATGTAATTACTTTAACTACATCTTTATTAAAAAAATCATTGGGTGGGAAATGCAGAGCGTTGCAATGGAAACATTAAGACCGAATATAGTAGTGTGAATTGCAAGGAAATGAGATATTTGTGATGATAATTGGTAGTTTAAATATATAGAAATAGAGAATAATTATAAATGGAGCACCTAGGATATTAGCATTGTTTTCTTTTCCATGTAATTTTTCTCATGTTAACATCTGCTTTTGTTTATGCATTTGATTCAAGTGCTATTTTTATTAGTGTTAATTTTGGGTTGTATATCCACAAAAAGTGACCGTTTTCGCTACCTAGGATCTATCTTGCAAGAGAACGGAGAATTAGATGGAGATCTCAACCATAGAATACAAGCTGGATGGATGAAGTGTAAGAGTGCATCCGGCGTGTTGTGTGACCGTCGTAGGCCACTGAAGCTTAAGGGAAAATTTTATAGGACGACAATAAGGCCAGCGATGTTGTATGGCATAGAATGTTGGGCGGTGAAGCATCAACACGTACACAAAATGGGTGTAGCGGAGATGAAGATGCTTCGTGGGATGTATGGGCACACGATAAAGGATAAGATTGGGAATGAGGATATCCGAGGTAAAGTAGGAGTAGCCAAAATTGAAGGAAATATGAGAGAAAATAGGTTCCGGTGGTTTGGACATGTGCAAAGAAGGCCTACTGACGCTCCGGTTCGAAAATGTGATTACGGGACAGAGGTTCAGGGCCGAAGGGGTAGAGGAAGACCTAGGAAAACTTTGGAAGAGACCCTAAGAAAAGACTTGAGTACTTGGATCTAACGGAGGACATGACACAAAATCGAGCGCAATGGCGTTCTAGGATTCATATAGCCGACCCCACTTAGTGGGAAAAGGCTTTGTTGTTGTTGTTGATGTTGATGTATAAGGTGAACTCTCATTGCATCAACTTGAACAAACATTCTTCTACTTAATTGCCTAGCTGCTGAAACAAGAACGAAACACTTTTTATGCTTTTTTGTTTAATTGCTAAAACAGGTGGCTGCCCTGCAAGATGAATATTTTGCCATCTTAACTTCAAGGGCAATATATGTGTAAAATGCATGTTGCTTCTGTTTCTCGGGGAAACAAAGCATTTTTTGCAACCACATCTTTTGTAATTAGCTCGATTGAATGTATATAAAAGCCAAGCTGCTTATCTTACCAACACCGTTAACTCATCTATCCTTTTTGTTCGTTCTTGATTATGTTGAAATTTTTTTTTCAGGTTAAATGTGTCTTATTCATGTAGTTAAGGTTGGTGCATTCAAGTCCTGCAGCAGTGCACGTGTATTTTTTCTAGTATTTCTTAAAAATTTTCCCCCATCCTTCAACCCTAGCCCCCAAATCATGATAATTTCCTAATGACCGGTCAAGCCTTATCTTAATTTCTAAAACCTAATGGCATTTCTAGCCTCATCCCTGATGCATTTCAATCTCCCAAACTCCTCGGCCATCTCCAACTAAGGTCATCTCTATCCGAGGGCTGGTCAGATGGCTCGTTTTAGCCATCTGATCCTCCAAGATTCCCCAAGATATTAATATTTTAATGAACAGTACAGGGTCATATTTGCCTCCGTCTTCAACCGAGGGTTAGAGGGCCAGAGGGCTCGTTTTAGCCCTGTCACAAAAAACCGTCTCCAACCGAGGGCCAAACATAATTTATTATTTAAAAACTACAATTTAAATTCAAATCCAACGGCTAAGTGACGTTAACATGATGTCAGCTAGCCGTTAGTAGCTGACATCATGGTGACGTTAGCTAGCCGTTGGATTTGAATTTTTTTTTGCTATAAATAGGGTGGATATTGGGCTATAATTCACACAACTTTGAATTCAATCTATTTCAATTCAATCTCTTGCAATTCAATCTCTTTCAATTCAAGTTTGCAATGAATTCCAACTTTGGATCCTCATCCAATTCCAATTGGGGGTCCTCATCCAATTCCAAATTGGAAGCAAAATGAGCGCAAATGAGACGAGAAGATGAGGTGTTATAGAATGATACGTTCTCGTGCCACAAATAAGTACCTACAACAGGATCTTGTTGCACATCTTTGGGCCAAAAGAAGCATGGAATAGGTTTTTAAGTTTTATGTTGTTAAATGTTTTTAAAAATGTGTTTAAGTTTCATGTTGTTAAATGTTTTTTTATGTTGTATAATTTGTATGTTGGTTAATGTTATTTAATGTTGTTTCATATTGTTTAATGTTGTTTCATGTTACTTAATTTAATTTAATGTTGTATAAATGGCCTAGGAAGTTATAGGAAAAAAATAGAATTGAAAAAAAATATGAAACAAATTTTGTGAAATAGAAGTTATAGGAAAAAAAATGGAATTTAAAAAAATATGACAAATTTTGTAAAATAGAAGTTATATGAAAAAAAATATGAATCAAATTTTGTAAAATAGAAGTTATAGGAAAAAAATAGAATTTAAAAAAAAAATTGAAACAAATTTTGTGAAATAGAAGTTATAGGAAAAAAATGGAATTTAAAAAAAATATGAAACAAATTTTGTAAAATAGAAGTTATAGGAAAAAAAATAGAATTTAAAAAAAAAATTGAAACAAATTTTGTAAAATAGAATTGAAAAAAAAATATGAAACAAAATATGATTCATATGAAAAGGAAAAAAAAGGGAAACAAAGAAGTTTAAATTCATATAAAAAAAATAAAAAAGTTAATACAACGGCTAGTAGCTGTTATATTAAAAAAATTTCAAACTATTAGTGTCGGTTATAACCGACATTAATAGTAATTAAAAAAAAAATTTACCTGTGAAAACCAATTACTGTCGGTTATAATCGACAATATTAAAGCATCCTTCTTTAATGCTGTCGGTTATAACCGACAGCAATAGAAAAACTATATAAAAAAAATAGCCAGCCCGGGGCTGGCTGGCTGGCCGGCCGAAAGCAGCCAGCCCTCCAGCCCTCTTCGATCCCGTGGGGCCCTCCTAAATTCCCGAGCCCTCTGGCCTAGCCCTCGGTTGGAGACGGTTTTAGGGCTATTTTCGGCCCTCTGGACCCTTCGGTTGGAGATGGCCTAAAGGTTGGCCAGATGGCTCGTTTTGGCCCTCTGGCCCCCCCAAAATATTAATATTTTAATGAACAGTACATGATTATATTTGTCTGTCTCCAATGATGGTCAAGGGGCCATAGGGCTTGTTTTAGCCTTGTCACAAAAAGCCGTCTCCAACCGAGGGCTAAATGCCCATAGGGCCAAACATAATTTATTATTTAAATTTAAAAATTACAACAACTTAAATTCAAATCCAACAACTTGTATTTATAAACTACAAAGGTAACTGGCCCAAAAAACCCAAAAAATTAGAACTTAAATTTAATGAATGGTTTAGGTATTTATAGGAAAAAAATTAGAAATTTTAAGAATTAAAAAAAAATGAATACAATGGCTAGTCAGCTAGCCGTTGGATTCAAATTTTAGTTTAAGCATTCTTGTCGGTTATATCCGACAAGATTGGTGTATTTTCTGGCCAGTCCCGAGCTGGGTGGCTGCATGCGGCCAGCCCTTTGGCCCTTATAGATTTCGTGGGGCCCATGAGTTTTTTGGCCTAGCCCTCGGTTAAAGATGGTTTTTGGGCTATTTTCGACCCTTTGACCATTTAGACTCTTCGGTTGGAGATGACCTTAGTTATCCCAAACGGACCCGTGTAGGGGTCCTTGGATTCAATTTGCACTCTCCTTATCTTGATTCCTTACCACACTTTGCACTCTCCTTATCTTGATTCCTATCCATTATATATCAGTGTATCATGGCATTTTCCAACACTAAGAGACAATATAGTTGACCCATATGGTATACACTTATTCCATTCTATAATCCGGAATCAGATACAAAACTAATGTACAAGTGCAACCTGGTGTTGATGCACAAAAACTGGTCAGCTTAAAGTTGGGTCGAACCCTTCCCAAGCTCATAGAGGACTTAAAACCCTTCTCTTCTCTTTTGACTAAGAGTGGTTGATCTTGGCTCTCCATTTATCTTTTGGTGAGTCTTGGAAAAATGAACAAAGAGTCACCTGAAAGTGGTAAAAATTGGTATGGCACCAACCAAACCCAATCTGATGCCCAGTTTTTTTTTTTTTTGCCTTTTTTTTGAACAAATGATATATCTACATTAAGGGGGAGATGAGCGGGATTAACCTTACAATTGACTATCAATAAAATGGTTCAAATTCGTCTTTGATGAGAATTGAACTTAAAACCTCTCACTTACAAATGAAGAGGAATATCACTAGACCGTAGTAAATGACCAATCTGATGCTTAAGTTAGATACTTGCAAAATAGTAACTAAGTGTACAATGAGTTAGTGAATAACAAGTGCCTCAGTGGTTACTTAGTGAAAGAACTGTACAATATATGAGTTTCCGAATTATGTTCCAAAAAATTTGAGATTACTAATCTAAAAATTTTCGAATTTGAAAATTTTGGCCTGTTCTGATCCTGATCCAAAAATTTTCAAAAGAAAATTGAAATCTTATTTCCGATTCGATTCAGGCCAAAAAACACCCGCAAAATGTTAAACAAAATCGACCCCAATACTGGGGCATCATTAGCTAGGACAGTAATTGCGTGTTTTGCGTGATGAATATGCCTCAACGTATGGGTTGGGTGTTGGGTCCTTGTTGCGTCTAAACTTGCATTAGAGCATCTTCAGGAGATAGTTAAAATATTCACATAATTTATAACAGTAAAAAAAGATCATAATAATCCAAACGAAATGTCAATTTTTATGTGGCGATGTCATGGATTGACAGTAAGAGTTGCTGTCAAATATTTTTTAATTAATTATTAAATATTTTTATTATTATTTTTATCTCCTGCTCCAGGTATATAAGCGTCTGTGTGGCAGAGAGCGGTGTAAAGAATCTTGACCCGGACCTCTCCGGCCTCCGGCGGAGCCACCTGCACGTCTTCGATCAACAACGGCTTATTGGGTTCCCAGGCCACCGCCGCTTCGCATTCCCAATTTCAATTTCACCCAAAAAACCATTACCCACAAAACATATTCTCAATCACAACCAACCATTTCACTGTAAAAAACATATACAGAAAGATACATACACATATATACACATAGAAATCTAGAGAGAGGGGGGGCGAGAGAGAGAGTACCTTTGCAAGTGATGACTTGACCTTGAGTAGCCATGGATTAGAGTGAAACCACAAAGCGAAACGGAGAGAGAGAGGATCGGAATTTGTGAACCTGAGTGTTTGGGGGAGTGTACAAAACGAGCTCTAATGAACTACTGATCCTTCGAGTGTTTGTGGGAAGTATGAAAAGATGGATTCGCAAGAGCAGTCCCTTCGTTTCGAATTCAGAAAAGAGAAAAAAAAAGATAAAAAAAAAGATCAGGAGAAGTCCAGAAAGAAGGGGCTGGGTTAATAAGAATTTCTTTTTATCAATTATTTATAGAGGTATTCATCAATTTCCACCCTGAACTTGTGACTATTGGCCAATTTTCCTCCTTAACTTTAATTTTGGCCAATTTCCCCCTCAACTCTCATAATTAGTCAATTTGCACCCTACTGTTAATTTTTTTTTAATTTTCCATCTATTTTTTTTTTCAATCTTTCTAATAACTTCCAACAAAGTACTAAAATTAACATGAACTCACTTGCATAATATAGGGTAAAATGTACAAAAACATAATACAATTAGTATGTGATATGGGTTGATTATAAGAAAAAGTTATGAATCGGGTTTAAAGCATGTAGAAGAAGAAATAATAAAAAAAAGAAATAATAATCCTAAACTCATGGATCAGACCTATTCAATAAAATAGGTTATTCTTAATAAGGAGTCTAAAATTATGAATTGACTAGCCATTTTTGCATTAAAGCTCGATTCTCTGCAATTTACTTGAACTTAGCTCTCACTTTTATAAAGAGAATTGTATTCACATACAAAAATGTACGCATCAATCCTTTTCGTTATCAATTTTGTATAGTAAAAAATCAAATAAAATTACTCCATATTGATTTATTATGACTAATAATACTATCTATGATAAATTGTAAAATTCTAAATTTTAATTTATTTGTAATAGGATAAAGATATAGGAAAATGATTAACATACATCTTATTTAGTTTCTTACACACACTTGTTTAATTATGATCAAATTAAAAAATTAATAGTAGGATGCAAATTGATTAATTATGAGAGTTGAGGGGGGAAATTGGCCAAATTAAAGTTGAGGGGGGAAATTGGCCAAAATTAAAGTTGCGGGGGGAAATTGGCCAATAGTCACAAGTTGAGGGGGGAATTGATGAATACCTCATTATTTATATGTAATTTAAAATAAATAATAAAAATTCTGATAAAAAATAGTGTAATAAAATAATAATTTAATTTGACATATCCGGTGGAGAACAAATTTAAAAAATTGTCAAAGTGTCACGTAAACTTTCAAATTCAAATTTTATATTTAAAATTTGATATCTTTTTTGGAAATCGTCTTATGGGCGACAAGTTGCTTATAAATTAGATGTATTCTCCTCAGAGCTGTCGTAAGCATATAACAAGTAGCAACCACCATGGGGATGAACAAGTTCTTTTCAGTTTTGCTTTCCTCATATTTTTGCTTTCATGTCCTTATTTTTCACTCATGCCTTGCCTTGAGATTGAGTGGAAACGAGACAGATCGACTGGCCTTGCTTGAAATCAAGGCGAGGATAACCTATGACCCTCTTGAAGCCTTGACTTCATGGAACGAAACCAACCATTTTTGCAATTGGCGTGGTGTCACGTGCGGTCTTCTTCACAAGAGGGTCACGGTGTTGAACCTGCAGTCCTTCAAACTTTCAGGCTCTCTGTCACCACATGTTGGGAACTTGAGTTTTTTGAGAGTACTTTCTCTCACCAACAATAACTTGAGCCACCAAATTCCTCCAGAAATCGGCCGTCTCTCAAGATTGCAAGATATAGTTTGGGAGAATAATTCCCTTACCGGGGAAATTCCCTCAAACTTATCGCGTTGCTCTCAACTCTCCAGAATTGCTTTTGGTGGGAATTTTCTGGTAGGAAGACTTCCTGAGGAGGTTGGCACTTTGTCGAAGTTACGAATAATTTCGATACTCGTCAACAATCTTACAGGAAGTATCCCCTACTCCTTCGCCAATTTATCATCTCTTGAGTTGCTTATGGCACCTGGTAATGATTTTTATGGGAGTATTCCAGATATCTTTGGTCAAATGGCCAATTTTAAAGTTCTTGGTTTGGGTGTTAATAGGTTCTCAGGTGTGATCCCTGCCTCACTCTATAATCTCTCTTCCATTAGTATCATTGATGTTACAGTTAACAGAATCCAAGGCACTTTACCTCCAAACATAGGTATTGTCTTTCCAAGTCTAGAATATTTTGGGGTCGGCCACAACAAATTTACTGGACCTCTTCCTATTTCGTTATCTAATGCCTCAACTCTAACTTCTCTTTGGATGGAAGGAAACAAATTTGAGGGGAAAGTTCCTTCTTTGAAAAGTTTAGTTAATCTTGAGTACTTGAATATTGCTTACAACAATCTTGGAAGGGGGGAAATCGATGACTTGAGCTTTGTTTGCGATCTGACTAATGCCACCCGTTTACAACAACTGATGTTCGATACAAACAATTTTGGGGGCAATTTAACTCAATGCATAGCCAACTTGTCTTCTTCTCTTGTATACTTGCATGTAGAACACAATAAAATCACAGGAAGCATCCCCCATGGGATTGGAAATCTGGCTAACCTAGAGAGCATTTGGTTTGCTCAGAACCAATTTTCAGAAAGCATCCCCACTGACGTGGGAAAGCTTCGGAAGTTATACGAATTAGATTTGGGTTTTAACAATCTCTCCGGCCATATCCCATCGTCATTTGGGAATTTCAGTGAACTATCTATATTGAGTTTAGCTGGTAACAAACTTGACGGCAATATTCCCTCAAGTTTAGGTAAGTGCCAGAAATTGATTACCTTGATTCTTGCTAATAACAACCTCAGTGGTATCTTATCCCCTCAAGTCATTGGCCTGTCATCATCCTATGTGGCATTGGATTTCTCTAAAAATCAGTTGACTGGTTTCCTTCCCAAAGAAGTAGGAAATTTGATAAATCTGGAGTATTTTCGTGTTTCTCAAAACATGCTGTCTGGGGAAATTCCAACAAGTCTTGGTAGTTGCATAAAAATTGAATCTCTAGACCTGCAAGGAAACTTCTTTCAAGGGACGATTCCATCATCTCTGAGTTCACTAAAAGGAATCAAAGAATTAAATCTTTCTCGCAACAACTTGTCAGGCTCGATTCCAGAATTCTTAGAGCGTCTTCAAGTTTTGCAATCTTTGAATCTATCTTATAACAACTTTGAGGGCATGGTACCAATGAAGGGGGTTTTCAAGAATGCAACTGCCACATCGATTGAAGGAAATAGCAAGCTCTGTGGGGGAATTCCTGGATTCCATTTGCCCAAGTGCAAACTCCAACATTCCAACAAGGGAGGATTAAGCCCAAAAATGAAATTGATAATTTCTCTGGTTTGTGGCATTCTTGGGGTTACTTTTGCACTAGTCTTTTTGTACCTCCGTCGGCCACAGAGGGCAAAAATAGAGCGGACTTCAAGTGATTCAGAAAATTTTCTCTCAGTCTCTTACCAAAGTCTTCTCAAAGCTACTGATGGATTTTCCTCTGTCAACTTGATTGGTATGGGCAGTTTTGGGTCTGTCTACAAAGGAGTACTTGAGCAAGGTGAAACAATTGCTGTCAAAGTACTCAACCTTGTTCATCTCGGAGCTTACAAAAGTTTTATTGCTGAGTGCGATGCTTTAAGGAATATTAGACACCGTAATCTTGTCAAGGTACTCTCGGCATGTTCTGGCTTTGATTATCGCGGTCACGATTTCAAAGCCTTAATTTATGAGTTCATGGTTAACGGGAGCTTGGAGGAATGGTTGCATCCAACTCATACAATTGGTGAGACAAGTCAGAGGCCAAGGAGCTTAACAATTTCTCAGAGGTTGAATATTGTTATTGATGTTTCTATGGCACTGGATTATCTCCATCATCATTGTGAGACGCCAATAGTTCATTGCGACCTCAAACCCAGCAATATTCTTCTCGATGAGGACATGGTTGCACATGTAGGTGACTTCGGGTTGGTGAGGTTCCTACCAAAAGCTGCTGAAAATTCTTCGGGAAATCAATCAAGTTCTTTAGGGATCAAGGGAACTATTGGTTATGCTCCTCCTGGTAAATACACTTAGTAGTTTATTTTTTCCTAGCTAGTATTTTTAAATTGTGCAGTATTTATTTTAAAATTTTCAAACATGAAATGGGCTTTTAGCACTTCACTAGAAAATTAGAATCTAATGTTCTGAATTGTGGAATGCAGAATATGGCATGGGACATGAAGTGTGGACACAAGGTGATGTGTACAGCTTTGGTATCCTCCTGTTGGAAATATTTACAGGAAAGCGACCAACCGATAACATGTTTGAGGGAACTTCAAACCTTCATAACTTTGTGAAGGCAGCTCCGGAGAAAGTGGAAGAGGTTTTGGATCCCGTTCTTGTTCAAGAGAGTGATTGTCATGATGAGGATAGCAAAAGGAATCACGTCCAAATCGAAAAAAGTTTAATGTCAGTTTTAGAAATTGGTGTTGCTTGCTCAGCAGAGTTGCCTAGAGAAAGATTGGACATCAATGATGCTATGGCACAAATGTGTCGGATCAGAAACAAACTTCGAGCAAATGGTATGTGTGAATAGAAGCTTATTGTTAGTACGTGGTATAGCATGTAATATTACTACATTTTATGTGAGAGAGTTCTTGTATTTGTTAGATAAAAAATACTATACATATGACTAGTTGATCAATGCTTGCCAAACAAACTTATTTGCATACGAATTATGCTTGATCGATGAAATTCTAGCTTTACCAAGCATTAAAGGACGAATGCTCTGAAAGAATACAAATATTGGAATTCCTCCTCAATGTTAAGAGGTTTATCCGTGGTTGAAAATGGGAAGCATTCCACTGTAGTTTTATTGCTCATTATTTTTGGATAAAATTGGTGAAGACGGTATTTAATATAAAATTGATGAAATTCCTCTAGAATTCAGCCGCCTGCACATACTGCAACACCTACGGTTGAACAACAATTCACTAAGTGGAGAAATTCCCACTAACTTGTCGCGTTGCTCTCACCTCCTCACGCTCGGTATTGATTTCAATGTTAAGATTCAAAAGGAACTTGGCCTCTTGTCAAAGTCAAGATTTTTTCACATCCACTTTAAACCACTACAGGGGGAGTCCCTCCTTTTAGCAATTTATCCCCAAACACTTTAAGTGACAAGTGGAGCGCATGTCTGGTAAGGTTAAGGGTTAAAGTTAATTTGATCATGTAAGACTTAATTACATTGTGTAACATCAACTTTCGGTTATATATACATACATATATATATCATTTGCATGCTGCATTTCATTATTTTTTTGGAAAGCATTTGTTTAAGGGGAGCTTAACAATTTGAAGATGTGTTTCTTTCGATGTTTATTTATTTATTTTTCTTCAACTATTGCTTTGTTTTACTTTCCTCTTCTGAATTCGTCCTCACTTTCAAGTTTCATTCGTCTGAAGTGATTCCAATTCCCAATAAGGAAATTTTTTTCCGTCTCATTTCGTATACATAGATAATTTATCTATTCATAATAATCATAATTACTCTCGACGAATTTCATATTTTGGAACCATTGCACGATGTCATCTACACCATTGAAAGAATTATCAAATTCAATAAAGAGAATCACTAAAATTTTGCAAATCCTAAAACTCAAGTAAGAGGTAGGATAAAATAGAAACAAATATGTTATAGAGAATAATAGAGTTTTACAAACCTTATTGTCTTTATTCAATAAATTTGGAATTTAGAGTAAATATATGAAATTCAAGAAGAATAGGGGGGAATAGCTCTACCAGTGCATAAATGAAAGATGATTTTTTTTAGTTAAAGTAAATGATGGGTTTTAATTTAAATGTTATTGATTTGTGATAAATGATCATTTGAAATGTTATACTTAATTTTGGGATGGGTTCTATTGGATGAAAAAGATAGATAATGATTGAATACTTTTTTTTTAAAAGTATTGAGAAGGGTTGCAAGGCAATAGAAATAAGTGTACTACTAATCTTATTTTTTCAAGTCAGGGTGGGCCTTGGACTACTATAGTCCTTATGTGCCTCCATCAGTGGTTTTACCATTGTTAGTTTTGTGAGTTTATGTTTCCTTAAAGCTACCTTGATCTAGATTGCATGTGTGACTCTCTAAGCCAATTGAAGGCTTCAACAATCATCCAAGAAGATATGATACGACTATTTCTTAAACTTTACACATCAAGGGGAAGTATCGTAGTTAATATTATTTAGGAGTGTGGTTTTGTAAATATAGAAATGGGATTCCAATAAGAATTGGAAATCAAATTCCTGGACGGCTCGTATTACTTGTAGGGCAAGTAAAGCCCATGTAATTAGTATAATTAAAGGTGTAAGGCTACAAGAGAAAATAAGCAATTACAGACAGTCGAGAGCGCTTTCTCTCTCTCTTGCCATCCCTTTTCTACCCTCACTCTCTAAATTTTTTCTGAAGAAGTTTATCAAAAAGTTTGATATATATATATATATATATATATATATATATATATATATATATATATATATATATATAATAAAACGATAGAGTTGGGGGGTTAGACAAATAATTATTAGGTGCAAAGGGATCGGTGAAAAAACTTGATATTTTGAAAAAATGTTTCTAATTTGAAATCCAAACTGCTTTAATGCAAAGACCTACTATCAAAGTGTTTTTTTTCCAAAAGCACTTTTACAAAAAAATTTACCAAACACTCTGCTGATTTATTTCACATCCGCTTATTCTTACAGTACATCCGCTTATTCTCACAGCAGTTTTTTTTCAAAGCACAGCAATACCAAACCAGCCCTAAAACTATTTAGGTGGCAATTTCCAACACTAACTTGACCCTGGCAAAGTCTCCGAGTACACACTTTTTCCAACTTAACTTGTAAGGTAAGCTAGAAAATAGAAACAAAACCAACCCCTTATTTAAAGCTTGTCGGCCAGTATTGATTAATGAATGCCAGCTATATATCTACCAGTTTACCATGGCACTATCCAATACTAGACAATATGGTCGACCATACTATCTTTTTATTTTATATCTCTATTAATTAATGAAATCATTTTTGTCAACTAAAAAATAATGAAAAGTCTTCTATCATACAAAAAAAATAAAATAATGGGCAATAATGTAATTTTATAGGTTCAAATTTTATTGCTTTTTATTGAAGCCTTACCTATAGATGATGTTAAAATACCTCCAATATTTAAAAGAAAAAAACCAAAAAAACCAAAAACAAAAACCTCCCATTTCCCCAACTCTCTCTCTCTCTCTCTCTCTCTCTCTCCTTCTCATTTTCTAAAAAAATGTGTTCATACACACAAAGTATGTAGGCAAATGCTAGTATGTATATATATATATATATATATATATTATATTTATTTATTTATTTTTAATTTTTTTTGGTGAACATATATATATTTATAAAATAATAGTGTTAGTGGATTAAATAAATAATTGTTAAGAAAGAAAAAAAGTCAGCTAAAACTATATGGATGGCAATTTCCAACCCTAACTTGACCATGGAAAAGTCTACTAGCACACTTTTTCCAACTTAACTTGTAAGCTAAGCTAGAAAATAGAATCAAAACATTTAGAAGCTATTTTCCAACACTTATTTCAAGCCGGTCGGCCAGTAATATTTGACGAATGCCACAGCTATAAATCTACCAATCTACAGAAGCACTTTCCAACACTAGAGACAATATGGTTGACCCATATTTGGCAAGTTAAGTCCAAATATTTAAAAATTTGGAATCATATAATTTACAACAAAAGTGTTGACGAACAAAAGCTAATCTGTTGTAAACAGTGGGTATGTTTGTCCACATGTGTATAGTAATGTTTCACATGCTAATACTAAATTTTGTAAGCTTTCGTTGAGGTGGCTCTATAAATAGAGCACTTCGGATTGTTCAAAGTGTGAAGAATATCAAGAAGAGAAAATGAAGAAATATAACACTCTCAGTATCCCTCATTTTCTAATATCTGCAATACTTTTTTCAGTGTGATATTTTGCACCACTTCATCCTCGTTCTTAGCAAAGATTATTTCTCTACTTTTGCCTATTTATAACACGTTATCAGCACGACTCTCTAATCATTTCTCATTTCCCTTCACCGAAAGAAAAAAAAAAAAGTTTCCTCTAAGGTTTTTTCTGTTCTTCTTCTTCCTCTGCCTCAATTGCTGGATATACCCTCGCGAAGAACTGTTTGCACCATGTTTACTTCTAGTTCTCAACCTAACAGTTACTTATATCTTTGATTTTTTGTTTGGTGTAAATCTTGACTACTAACCTAGTGTTTATTTATGCAATCCAAGATGGTGCGTTATCATCGCCTATCTTGGACTGCAGATCTATTTTTACTGCAAATTTTAGGTGGAGCGGTATAATCGCCCACCCTATCCTGCATATTTAAATTTACCTGCTATTTAATTTTATCGCAATTTTAGGTGGTGTGGAATAATCATCCACTCTGCTCTGCATATTTAAATTTTATTGCAATTTTAGGTGGTGTGGAATAATCACCCACTCTGCTCTGCATATTTAATTTTATCGCAATTTTAGGTGGCGTGGAATAATCACCCACTCTGCTCTGCATATTTAAATTTTATCGCAATTTTAGGTGGTGTGGAATAATCACCCACTTTGCTCTGCATATTTAAATTTTATCGCAATTTTAGGTGGTGCGGTATAATCGTCCACTTTACTCTACATAATTAAATTTTCCTGCTGTTTAAAGTAGTGCGGAATAATCGCCCATCCTATACTTGTTTCGATGAGAATGGTGCGGTACAATTGCCCTTCTCATTAATCATGTAAATCTCGAGCCTGAAGTTTCGAGTACTTAACATTTTGGCCTGAAGATCAAAAATTTGTAAGAACCAGAAGTTCTAACAATATATTCCTCCAGAACACATATTATTGCAAGTTCTTACACACCTCATTTTTCTTTCAGAAAAGAAAATGGCAAACTTGGCAAAGCTTGATTTTGCTGCCCTGGACATTACTGGAAAGAATTACCTTACCTGGGTATTGGTTACCAAGATCCATCTGGAAGCAACGAATCTTGAAGATACCATAAGGGAAGAGAGTAGCTCATCTTCTCAAGATCGGGCGAAGGCCATGATTTTTATTCGTCGCCATCTTGATGAGGCACCAATCCGTTAGCCCTCTGGAAGGCCTTCAGAAACCGATATAATCACCAGACAACGGTGATTCTTCCAAGAGCTTGCTATGACTGGACTCACCTAAGGATCCAGGATTTCAAATCAGTGGCTGAGTACAATTCTGCGTTGTTCAGAATTACCTCTCAGATGAAGCTCTGTGGGGATACTATTACTGAGGAGATGTTACTGGAAAATACTTTCAGCACATTTCATGCCTCTAACATGCTCTTGTAGCAGCAGTATAGAGGGCGAGGCTTCACTGAATACAACCAGCTGATATTTGTGCTCTTGGTAGCTGAACAGAACAATGAACTCCTGATGAAAAACCATAATTCTCGACCTACTGGATCAGCACCGTTCCCAGAAGTGAATGCTGCTTCCCTTGAAAGGAATACCATATCCTCCCGTGGCAATAATTACAAACGAGGACTTGGCCACAAGCGAGGTTGGTGGAACGGG